TACTCCAGCATCATATAAGCATTCACCCTAGATCGGCGGTGTATCTGATCATGCTCTCACAACTCACACTTACCGAGGCGTAGAGGCAAATGATCCATACACTACCACTCAAACAAGTGGCACTCATACAATAGCACGCCGTATGAGCAACGAAAGAGAAATATGACGCAAGAACCCCAAGTCAGTACTTAATTAAGCCACCTAGAGTCCTTAACTGGGCATAAATGATATGACCATTGGCACACTTTTTAGTTTGGAAATCACGTTTTTCAAATGCCTTTTTGTTTTAAATACACTTGTGAACAGTAACACGCTAAACCATGCTCTGATGCCAGCTGTAATAGAACTGACCAATTATACGAAATTAAGTAAGAAAATCATCCGCCAGAGCAGACGATTTAGCAAACTTAAGCCCGTATAACCCGGTAGTCCATGAAATCATGAAGGATTTCAAACCAACTCACGTACCAGCCAAGATCGTAATAAGTTTAGCGGTCACCATCACATATTACATAAAAGTTCGCATCACAGATACATCAGAGTTTAAACATAGTTATTACAAAACGAGTTCAAATAGAAGTAGCGGAAGCCATTTGTTCAAAACCACACACACTCACACGGAGTTCAAATACAGTGCCAGCTAATGATCATCTCCAACAAAAGCATCAGACGAGACGTAAGGAATGACCATGCCCATGGTCCTAAGCATCACCCATCGTAGGATAAAGGCAGTTCATACAGTAGTCGTAATACATCTGCCCATCTGCAACAAGTGGGAATAAAACCCTGAGTACGAGAAGATACTCAGCTAGTCTGAAAAATCATTTCTTAAACCCTTTCAAAAATCAGCCGACGAAAATGCTGGGTGCACCCGGTGCTGTGCACCCAGACCCGAGCTAGGGCGTTGACGAGCGGGCCCCCATGGTCAACGGCCCCCACCTATCGGTCAGACCGAAGCAAGGGCGGCGCTGACCGGCCGGCTCTCGCCGACGGTGAGCCAGCCGGCGGTGTGGTCACCACCAGCAGCTCCCCCGCGATGAGGCGAACACGGTGCACAAAGAGAAGGCACGGAGGAGCTGGAATACCACGCATGGCAGCGGCGTGGCGCTGCTCCCGACGGCCGCCATCTCCGACCGAGAAGGGGTGCGAGAGGTGGGTGGGAGCTTCACCGAGCTCGTGCGGTGTTCGTCTTGCCTTGAAGGAGAAGCGAGAAGGAAGATGGAGGGGCGAGGTCCACGGAGCGGAGTGCTCCGGCGAGCTCGGCCACAACTCCGGCGATATATTCCCAGGGAGAGGGAGCTTCTCATGGCTTATCGAGGTGAGCACGAGGTGCGCGAGGAGGAGGCGGAGCTGCGGGTGAGATGGAGGGTTCAACGGTGAGCTAGGACGGTCGCGCGAGCGAGTTCCGACGAGGCGAGGGTGGGCGTGCACTGCGGCTGTTGCTGCTGCTAAGCGAGCGAGAGGAAAAATGAGATGGAGGAGGGGAGGCGGACGCTGCTCGGCAGATGGAGGCGAGCGCGTGGAGGGCGAGGCAGGCGGGCCGCCGGCGCTGGCGTGGCGTCGCGCCGGGCAAGATGGCGCCACGCCGGCGAGCTGGCGATCTAGACGCTTGGTCGGGCGGCGCAAAAGTGGGATGAGAGCGGAATGTGAGGAGGAGGCAGGCCGGCCTGTCTGCGGGTTGGGCAATAAAAGGAGGAGGCGGCTCGAAGAAGGTGAAAAATGAGATTTTTCAAATTATTTTCAATTCCATTTTCATTCAAACGAAATTTTGAACTATTTCAAAACAGTTTCAAAAGTTGGTGTAAAAATGAAAGTTGTTCCATTTTTCAAGATCTACAACTTTGCTTTTATGACCAAAGTCCAATTCCAGATAGATTTTGAATTATAAAATAAAATCGATATTAACTCAAAACCCTAATTTTTGGAGAATTGTTTAAAAGCAAAATTTGGCAAACTTTGAATATAAACTTGGCTCCAAATTGTATCCTAAATATTCATAAGCTATTTTAGTGATCAAAACAAGAACCATGGCATCCAAACATGAGCATGGCATTTCACATCGTTTGAAACATGAATAAATTTTCAATCAACTTAAGCATCACATGAAATGATACTTCATTTCTTTCGAAATGGAATGCGTGAATGATGCTTATGCATAAGGTGATGATGATTATGCTCATGGGATGAAATGGTAATGCACGCTTAACATCGAGGTTTTACAATGCCACAAGTGGATATGTGTTTTCACTTGGAGGTGGCGCTGTTTCCTAGAAGTCTTGCAAGCAGACTATCTTAACGAAGTCTACAATGAAAGCAGAACTCACAGCATTAGACACTGCTGGATCTGAGGCTGAGTGGCTTCGTGATCTCCTTATGGATTTATCGGTTGTTGAAAAACCTATACCGGCTATTTCTATGAGCCGCGATAACCAGACTGTGATTACAAAGGTTAACAGTTCTAAGGATAACATGAAGTCCACAAGGCATGTTAAGAGACAACTAAAATCTGTTAGAAAAATTGAGAAACTCTAGAGTAATAGCGTTAGACTATGTTCACACGTCTAACAATCTGGCAGATCAGTTCATTAAGGGTCTATCACGCAATGTGATAGAAAGTGCATCGAGAGAGATGGGTTTGAGACCCACTTGAAATTTACTATAGTGGTAACGTGTTCTATGTGATCGGAGATCCCGTGAAGTAGGACGGTGAAACAAGCTAGTAGTAAATTGTGAGGAAAGATCCTTAGTAAGACTCATTTCTGATGCATATCTTTCATTTTCTGTAAGGCAGGCTGCCTTTTGCCTTAATGTGTTCCAAGTGGCTTGTCAAAGCAAAGATATTGTCCTACAGAACATCTTTTAAGGAACACACCTATATGAGTCAGACTGCTGATCACAGTCTATGAGATTTGGGTGATATCTAAATACTCATGAAAGGCACTGAAGTATGACTTATATGCTTCAAATAGAGGGGATGTCTTTTGCTGCCTAGTATCAGCTAAGGACTTTAGTGACATTCAACTCACACAAAACTGTCAATTTAAGGCTTAGTCCATTGTTCAGTTGTGACTGAGTGAAACTATTGTTTTAGATGGATGTTCAACTTAACAGTCTCCATCGAAACACTGATATATAAAATAAATGTGGTTCTAAGACTACTTTATTACAAACCCTAGCGTTTGGTGGAGATTGTTGGATATAATATGGGCTTGGCCCATATAATATTTAATAAATCAAATAAAACTCTATGGTACGTTACATTAAGTGTTGTATGGCTTAATACCATACGGGATTTTGACTAAACGCTGACTCAGGTTATATGGTTAGAAATTATTCATCTAAATTGAGAAGTTGAAAAAATGATAAAGACGTGCCACACGCGCGCGTGCGCCGCCGCTGGCCGGGGCAGGCCGTGGGCGTGGTGAGGCGAGCGAGCAGGCGGGCGTGGCCAGTCTTTTGCCACTTAAATCCACATTATCACGGGAGTTTCGCTCCTTGATGGTGGAGGCGAACTGACTACGTCAGTTACCGTCCCTTCCGCTTCCGCTTTCCGTCTTCTGGGATTCTCCGCTGCCTTCGTCTCCTTCCCTTGTCGCAGCCATATATCCCGTCCTCTGTCAGTCCAGACCCTGTCTTCTGCAACCACTCCCGAGAGATATCAGCAGCCTTCTGACTTCCCCGTCCCGTACCTCTGCGCGCACGGAGGAGCGGGAGAGCAGGTGCCTCCGGAACCATCAGCCGCCTGAGAATCCTGCACGGGGTGAGCGGCGATTAGGTTTTTAGGGAGCGATCCGTGACTGCTCGTCCATCTTCTTCCTGCTGGAGACCGCGCTTGGATCCGTCTTCTTCCTGGAACGTCTAGGCGTCTTCTTTTTGGCGATCCGTTCGTGGGACTGCACTGCGAACATCTACCTGCATCAACTGTGGTCCGCGACTTCGAGCAACGCACTATATCGACTAGTGCGAATGGAGCCTCCAATGCCCTCGGCATGGGACCCTCCATTGGGTACAGTCTAATATCTGTGATTACTGTATTTTGTATTCTTACTGTCTCAATCAGTATATCATCTATACATGCTGTAGCGTTCATAAGAAATATACACATACACATATATGCTGTCATAAACCTGCTGATGTTATATTTCTGGATTAAACTGATAATGAAAATGACTAAATATTCAACATCAAGTTGTCCTTATAGAGCAACCATGGGCACTCACCGTAGATTCGACACATGCCCATGTGCATGCATCCAACGCATGAGAAATGCAGTTTTTCTTTCTAATTATTCATCCTAAGACCTAAGTTTAAGCAACAGTTTCATTTGTTGGATGTGTACGTGTCACAATTTGTGGGTGCTCCATAGGGACCGTCTCCACCCAATTTTTTTTCCCTATTTTCCTATTAGCTGCTAGTGGATGAAATCCAAACATGGCCTAAATCCAAACGAAATCAACAAAAGATTGAAACGTGAAAAGTTATGACGTCATAGAATCAGTGGCGTCCCTGTGAATTTGGGGGCCTCAGCAAAACTTTAAATGAAAGTATGAAACAATGATAAAATGTCGGTGGATTCAGTGTTCTCATCCTCACAAAAAATCTGCATCGAAGTAATATTTGGACGAGAGCATCATAGAGAACCAATATGAAGTATACCTCTATATGCGAGCATCATTATTCACTTATTCTATAAGGTCAATACATCCTGAAGTCATCTCTAATATGTACACACACCAGGGCCACCACCACACAAACTCTGGGTGGAGTAAATTATCACAAGGTACATTATGAACGTGTAAAAATGGAACAAAAATTGCCTATGAGGCTATGGACTCATCCCGTGTTCTATCCTAACTCCTACTGCAAGTGTGGACACAAGCCAAAAAGAATGTGATCCTATAGCACTATACGTAAATCAATACAGGGTGATCAAGTTTTAACTAAATCTATCATATCTGTCGTTTTTGTTTTGAAAAGACTCTCATGGGGAGTTGAGGTGATCAAAGGGTCACGAGGAATAGCAGAGCAGCGGCGACGAAGACGTTTCTGTTGCAATGCAGCTTCAGCGAAAAACTTGCTGAAGGCTGCAATACATTGACTTGGGTGCCATTCGGCGAGGCACCCGTGGTAGCTTCAGGAGTGTAACTGTTCGGTCCCAAGGCTGGTTTCGGGGGAACACCAGAAGGATTTGGGTTCACTGGAAGGTTGCTTGAGTTGTCCACGCTGTAGCCTGGCATGACAGCCACAACATGTCAGGGCATTGCTCTAGTTTCAAGCTTTTGTAAATTTAATCTGTAAAAAATGTTTAGATGGATATGACGGAGCTTACAATTAAAATTTTTCCAACCCAAGACCTTCCTCTCTCGATCAAACACAACCTTCAGCCCAGACATAAAATTCTCTGCATAAAAAATGACTAGCCAAGGTAAGAACATTGAGGCAAGCTATTATCACTGCTTACGTCCAGATTGAGATCAAGATAAAAGAACAATCATGGATGTAGCTGGTGTGTGTGTGTGTGTGTGTTTTGCCCTGATCTCAAATATGACGTGATAACAGGGCACCATGCGAGGATTTGGAATAAATGAACAAAACATTAATAAGTTGGCAAGAAAAGCAAGCCTATTGATTAACAGTAGCATAGCGAATCCATTCAATGGGTTTTCATAATAAAGCAGAGCAAGCGCCTTAAAGTTCAAACAGAAGGTTTAAGAGTTTGAACGCAGAAGCGCTTACCCCCTATTAAGTTAACACCTTCGCTCTTCATAACAGCCAAGCAATATGCCATCGGATTCTGAGAGAGAGAGAGAGGTATTGCAAATTAACAAACTCACTTACAGGGATACAGATAAACAAATAAACAAATAGAGTAGAGTGCCAGTTCTATCTTACAGATGCATTGTCCGTAATGGTAATTATTGGATCATTGACAGGAAATATGCTTCCACCTTTTGCCGTCAAACTTATGTTTGGAGGATTGACAGAACCCTTTGGACTGGAGTGAGCAGCAGCAAATCCATCAGGCATACATGGAGCAGTACGTGTAGATATAATTATGAGGGATTGTTACTAGATAAAAATACCTTATGGAGTAGCAAAATTCAAAGGGCAGAGAAGAGTCAAGTTGGGTTGCCTTATCTTGGACTTGTGAATTGAACTGATTAAGAACGAACATGTGTAAGAACAAAACACAGTGAAAGATGCAGGTAATGTTAATTTTGCCCTTCATTTCAAAAAAAAAAAAAAAATGTTGATTTTGCCCTTAGGGGCATATGCCCCTATGTGTATCATTTCTCCTCCTTTTGCACACGCATCCCCATGTATATCGAACAGTGGATGCACATGATGGCATATGCCCCTAAAGGCAAGTTTTCCGCGTCCGAAAGTTGCAGTGCTGATTAGACATAATACTTACGCTGCTAGTGATTTCAGTGTACATCGGATCAGACAGAGCTGTGAAAGAGGTGCCAGAGTCAACAATAGCATTAAACTTGGTGTTAAACGATTTACTTCCCACCATAGCACCAGTGATGCTTATGTTGTAATATGGACTGCAGAAGAAGGTATACCAAGATGAGGTTGACGAACAGTTTCTTTTTTATATGAAATGTATATATGATGAGTCGGGACATACTTTTGTTTATAAATGTTTAACGGGGTTTCCTGCTGATCTGAGCTTCCAGTGTCCCCAAAATTGATTCTACCATGACCATCTTCTCCAAAGCACATGGAGAAGGAGTTGGCAGCAACTCCTTCACTTGCTAGTAAACTAGGGACTGATATACTGTCCATACCAAGCCCAAGTAGACCATTGGGTGCAGCACTGCCTAGAAATGAACCCGTCTGAATCCGCCCACAACTGAACAATCGGCACAAGATTCAGCACACGGAAATAAGCACAAGCAATTTACAGTTTAGCATGGGGTGTATCATAGAGTGCATACCCAAACGTTATGGGGGCCGTAACAATTTTTGGTTGCCCATACTCCGTTATCAGGTACAAGACATCCTCAACTAGCACACCGGTGGACGACGTGTTATCAGACAAGTATTCGATGCTGTAAGGGCAGTTGCTACTTGCTGATCGGCATGCACTCTGCAGATCACACAAATTGCTACTGCATGGGACCTTCCGGCTAGTACTCGACTTCTGAGGGCTGTATGTATCGAACTTCAAATCCTGTTCAAATTACACGAGGCACAGACATGAGACATGCACAATTTGGTGATAGTACAGTCAATGGATTGGAAGCACCAGGAAACTACAAAATTCTGTGATATTGACAGAAAATAAAAACTTCTCGTTTTCAAAAGAAGAAAAAAAAAAGAGTACACATGTCCAGGACCAGGACCAATGAAGTGGACCTTTTTTAAATGCCTAGAAGGTCCCAGCTGAAGCTGACGTGCTTTGGAAGATTTGCACATGGCACATGCCATGCTTCCATTTTTTTTTTCACGAAATATGTCCGTGATCATGCTGTAATCTCGGAAGAAGCTCGAGAATTAACTTTGTACTCTAATATTTTTACTACTAGTACTAGCATCTAGTAGAGCACAAGATCCAACTCAGTCGCAATCATAACGAAGGGTGTAGTAGAAGCAAGAGAAAGGAGGAGGAGAAGCAGCAGTACTCCGTAGTTGGGGGAGACGAGGGGCGCGCAATTGATGCAGTCGCAGGGCACCCAGAAGAGGTCGCTGCCGGTGTCGAGCGCCACCAGGAACGTCACGTTCGGCGTCCCCAGCGCCACCACCGCGTAATGCAAGCTGCGCAACCAACACCAACCACAGCCTGCTTTAGACCAAAAAGAAGGCAAAAGTAACAACACCAGAGCTCCCTAAACAGCAACCCGATACGCTAATGATTCCATTTCATTCATCCCTCTCCCCGATTCGAAGCTAAGCTAAGCCAACAAGCAAGATTAGATTGACGAGAAACGGTAAGCGAGCGAGCGAGGCAGTGCTAGTAGCTCTCACAATCCCAGTTCGTTGAGCCGGTACGTGTCGTTGCCGTCGGCGAAGGCCACCTCCCCTCCTCCTGAAGCGGGCGCAGGCCCGGCCGCGAGCGACCGCCGACGGAGGTCGTGCCGGGCCAGCGCCGCGTAGTACTCCGCAGTCCCGGCTGGCGGCGCGCGGTGCCCCGCCCACTCACGCACGGTGGCCGAGTACCGGTGGTGGACGTCCAGGCTCAGCGCTTCCGCTGGCACCACCGCCGCCGCAGTATACGCGGCCACGGCGGCGGCCAGCAAAGCTGCCCGCACCCACGCCGCCATAGGCAGCGAAGCAGCGGCGAAGGTAAAGCGAAGCCTTGGAACTCTGGAAATAGAAAGGTCTCGCTTCTGTCCGCGGGCCGCTATTTATCCGGGATTCGTCTTCGGGCGAGGGGGGGGGGGGGGACGGAAGGAGGAACAGGGTGTGTACCTGCCGCTGCCGCCTCCGAGTGCGAGGTGGCCGGTTCGGAGGTGGTGGCCCGGCGGGGGTGGCTGGGTCTCCGCGGGAAGGGTGGGTGGAGGGGCCCACGGCGCAGAGAGGGAAAGAGCGGGATCGGGGGGACCGTCGGGGTCAGACGTCACGCGTCAGTGCGCTGGAAGTTTCGCTTTGGACTCCTGCCGCGGCGTGGTCGGTCTCCGGGTCGCTGAGACGCTGATTTCGACCATGCCTTGATATTTCAAAAAGGCTCTTGGCCGATTATGATATTTTTGGTTCAGACTGCGAGCACGGCAGCTTGCAGCTAAGTGCCGAGCACGAAGCACGATCAGGTAGGCGGATTTTTTATTTGTTTATTTGTTCTTTTCAATTTTTCGTTGCATCATAGCTTACTGTTTTTTTTGTCAGGTAGCACCAAGCACGAGCTTAATATTTTTCGTCACAGCTTTTGTACCATTTGTATAATTTGCTAATTGATTTAGAAATCTTGATTCAATTATTGTCTATATTGTTCACTTTCCGTATCTCAATTCCACCTCTGTCACTTTTTTTAGACGTACTTGCCTGTTATTAACCCAGTTGGTCGAAGCCTCAAACAGTACAAGATTATTTACATATGCCAAAGTTACAATGCCACATCTCTAACTATATGTACATATGACCTGCTTCGCTAGAACATGAGCAACATTATTACATACTCTATTTGTATAAGAAAACAAAAACTCCGGAAAGACAAGCCTAATTTCGACGAACTCTTCACTATGTGTGGGCATATATACACGAAGGATCATTGTTTGGCCTTTTTTTATGGATCTATGGTTGTATTCTCCACCATAAAATTGTGATGTCCATATTGGTGCTCCACGCCTCATTTGTTCGGTTAGGAAAGCCACCAGAATTTGTCACCAAGCTCAGCAACGAAGTATGTATAAAAAAAATTATTTGCCTTTTCAATTGAATGTTATTTGCTGGCTTTGCATCAGGTAAACGGTTTCATCAATCTTTTAATTTTCAAATTTTAATTATTATGGATTAAATTGAACTTTTGCTTGCCCGGACGTGTTGATTTCATTATTGGTACACGAGGATTTGTAACTTTATGCGTCTTACTTAAAAAAATATTTTTCTCCTATTTAGCATTATAGAATTGTCTCTTTCGTAGTATTACAAAACTTTGGCAGCAACGCACAGGGGTGCTGCTACGTATTCGGAGGAAAAGCGTGGTGGCGGCCGGCCGGAATGGGATTGGCCGGTTATGATGTGTTTGGTTCAGGCCGCGAGCCAGCGCTCTCACAGAGGCACTGTTCACGCGAACAGTGTTTCTAAATAGAATAATATTTTTCTTTTACAATAATCAGTCGAAACAGTATTTTAGCTTATTTTTCAGCATTACGAGCACGGCAGTGCGGCACGGGTCCGTCCGTCTGACCACACCAGATGACGCGTGCAAGTTCAGTACTCTAAACTGGGTTTTCAGCGCGTCTTTTTCGCTGTGGTTACTGTTGGAAAACGGACCGAGGAAAGTGTCGTGTGGGCGTGCTCACCTTCCCGACACCATGAGACCCCGTGCCTGAATGAATTATGAATGAATGAATGAACGGGCGGGCGAGTGGGTGATCGATGACCGTGATGTCTTTCAGATAGGAGATGGATAGGCAACGGATGGTTGAGCACCGTACTGGTCAGGTCCGTATCCGGCCCCTGCTAAAACATTTCTTCTTCTTTTCTCTCAAACAAAGTAAAATTTCTAGCTCTCCAGGTTTATATTACCAGGGCTTCACGGCAGTCGAACTCTTGAAGGTTCAAATAGGATAGTAGAGCTATGAGGTCCTGAGTTCCACGACCGACTATTGATGTCCAACGGGGTGGGCCGGCCCTGCCCGGCATGGGTCCGTGCCCGGCACAACCCAATGGGGTCAGGCCAGCACGGCACGTTGTGCCTCCCGGGCCGTTCCGAGGCGGGCATCGTGCCTGACTACAACCCAAGCACGGGCTGCTGGGCCGTTTTTCGGGCCGGGCCGGCCCGAGAAGCACGGGCAGTCCAGCATGCTAGGCCAGCCCGGGGCCCATAGAGAGAGGGAAGGCCGAAGGGGACGCAGGGCAGCCGTGGGAGGTGGCGGCGACCGTCGGCGTGCTCGTCCCCGAGGCGGATCCGGCCGGAGGCGGCGGCCGCGCACCCGCGTGTGGCAGGAGGAGGCACGGGCAGCCCGCGGGAGGTGATGGTGGACGCCACTGAGGAGGATCCGGCCGCGCAGCAAGAGGAGGTAGGGCCGTAGGGGCACTCCACAAAGGGGGCGGGCAGCATGCCGGTCGTCGGATCTGGATCCCGACCGGCGAGCGGAGGTGAGGAGCCCCGAGCCCACAGCGGCGCACCTCACCGGCAGAGTGGAGAAGGAAGGACGGAGGAGCGAGCCAGGCGAGGGCGAGCTGGGCGGGACGCGGGGAGGAGCGAGAGTGCGACGCACGGTGGGGAGCCTGCGGTGCCGCACCTGGCCGGCGAACGAAGAGAGGGATCGAGGGAGAGAAGAGATACGAGTCGAAGGCGAGAGTAGCGGTGCTGCTCGCGGCGCTTGTGGGAAAGAGGGACGGCAACTGGGGATACGGGGAAATGAGATAGGGTTAGGGGGAGCCAGGGAGGTGAGCTGGGGGTGCAGCCGCGCAGGGTTGGTAGGCCGGGCCGCCACCGGGCCGTACGCTGTGGAGCGGGCCGTGCCGTGCTAGCCCACGGGCCTGAGAAGCGGCCCAGGCACGGCCTGCTCCCTAGGGCCGGGCTAGCCTGGGTCCGCTGACCATCAGGCCGTGTCATGCTTTATCTGGACCAAAATTACGGGCTTCATATCGGGTGACGTTTATACGACCGACGACGGGGAGGAACATACAAAATCTTCTTGCACCTGTTATGTGACAAGTGACTTCCAGGTCGTCGCTGCCCGGGCCCGGCTAAAGAGCGGCTGCTCGCGTGATCCGCGGCCTGCGGTGGACACTGCTCAGGTTGGAAGGCGGCTGCCGCCTGCGTTTGACTCTTGTTCAATCAGGCTTCTATAGTCGTCGTTAGTTCGGTCAGGAGTCAGGACCCAGAACAGGACGGCATGCGTGATAAGCTGGCCTGGCCCAAGAAGTTACGCCGGATTGGAATCGGCGTCGACGATTTCCAGAAGCATGGACGTCGGCTCAGCATCAAATACCGTATGATTTGTTCGGACGATCGAGTGGTCTACTACAAGCCATAGCAGCTGAGGAAGTTTTCTCTCCCTCTCGAATATACAAGAGATTTGCGTATCATTATAATTAAGAAGAAGAGTTTAATCATACATACAACACGTTTCTAATAAGCGTCTAAGATGTCTTATAGTTATGATTGGACCTTCCTAGCAGACTGTTTTGAACTTCGATATTACATAAAAGTAAACCACCGAACTAAGAGTCGCGCAGAAACCTACGGTCTCCGCTTTGCATTCTAGTATTCTTGTAGGACGGCTGCTTAGCTTACAATGACCTCTTTCATGGTTCACAGATTTTGAAAAGAGTTTTGGGACTTGGAGCGGGTCATGCACATCCATGATCCACCGGTCTTTGTTTATTTTGTCATCGTTATATATGGACGACAATCCCGCAAAGGCATCGTCCATTTAAAGAAAAGGAATTGCTAATACATTATTATGGAACTGAATTTTCTATTTCTCTCTGACGAGGTGAACCAGAGTGTGGTTGAATTTTCATCAAATGGCTAGCAGATAATCTTCAACCTTGCGTCGTCTTCTTCGATGCATGTGGCTGCCCCTACTCAATCCAACTACCACCGTCCTCCTCGACCCCCAGCCAGGCGCCCCATTGCTTCAACCTCACGTTTGCCTCCACCACCTAGCCGACTTACCGCCTCGAGCCCTTTTCTAAGACCACAGATCACAAATACTGACACATGTGCTGTAGGAAATACTTGATTCATTTCTAAATTATAAGACATTTAACATTTTTAGATGCATAACTTTTGCTATGTATTTAGATGTACATTATGTCTAGATATATATATAGTAAAAACAACGTATCTAAAAGAACTAAAATATCTTTTTTACGAGGAAGCCAAAATATAATTTGGAATGAAGCAAATGTATATGTAAAAGATATTTATCATTTTAGGGTACATCATTATAGTGCAGTCAGCACGTGATGGGTGAAATGAGAGTCGTAGTCACACACACGCCGACGGGATTTGATCTGAGAACCACCTAATCGGCTCTAGTCACACACACGCCGCCGCCGATGGACGGCAGGCCTGCAGGTGTACAACGCCCACACGACACGTAAAAACACATCAGCAACGTTTGATGGGTGCCTAAAAAAATAGAGGGAAAAAATACTATGAAGGTAAGGCAAGCTGACAATGCAATTATGCAAAGGAAATCTCTCGTCATCCATCAGCCCGTTTGTTTGGCTGTGGCTTGTCGTAAACGATTGTAAATTTTTAGTCGGAACAGTATTTTTCTCTCACACAAACCAGCTAGCAGTACTTCTTTACTGAAACAGCAACGAAACGAACGCCAACCGAACAGGCTGACACGTCGTCAGTCAGGGTCCTAGCCCGACCCTTAGTTAGATACTGTACTTTTTTTTTTTGCAGCCTGACTATTCGGCTGATGGTTTCTACGATTTATAAGCCAGCTACTATGACTGATAAGACGGGCTGATAAGTTCGAGCTAATAGGGCCAACACCGGTGCCACGCACAAACGGCAGCCGCTGCCGATGGCAACGTTTCCCGTCGGCCATCCAGGCAGGTCCGCGGCCTTTTCGTTGGTTGGTTTCTGAGGTGATAAGCTCGACTGATGCTGATTTATTGCGAGAAGAAA